ATGATACTACCAACGCTAAGTGTCATAATAATCATAAGAACAACAATAACACATTCAATAACACTAACAATAACAACACATACCAATACTAAGTATACCAATGCGACAGCTAATACGAATAATCACCATAAGTAATAATCACATTGGGGAAAACTAGCAATACTCATACGATTAAGAATGCGAGTGCGATTAATGATAAGAAGAAGAAACATCAGGACAATGATAATCATAAAGCTAACCTGAATAATCCCATCAGCCCCCTGGGCGACAGGTGGTCGAACGATGTCTTTGTTTCCTCTTCCACAACCCCTTCTTCCCCTTCTACCCCCTCCCCTGGACCTGGACGGGGGGGTTCGCGAGCGGTCAGGGCGTCCAAGATAGCATGAGATGGCTCCAAGAGGGCCTCAGAGAGCCCAAGATGGCCTCCAAGATCGCTCGAGATAGCCCAACATGGCTCAAGATAGCTAACAACATGCCTCTTAGAGGCCCCAAGGAGGCCACAAGACGGATCCAAGTGATGTTGGCAATCCCCCAGGACCTCCCCGAGAAGCCAACATTCTTCAACAACCGAAGGAAAATCAATAATGTGTACCTTCTAGCCTTGTGGCTTCCGATGCGCTTTTGAGGCCTCAAGACGGCCCTAAGATGGCCCAAGAATCCCCAAGAAGGGCCCAAGATGGCCCGAGAGCTCCAAGAAGGGCCCAAGAGGCCCCCAAGACTGCCCCAAGAGCGCCCAAGATCGCCCCAAGAGGACCCCAAGAGCGCTCCAAGAGGCTATTTCGATGGCCCAGAGAGGGGAGGCAAATCGAGGGTCCCACCTCCTTAGATCGAGGCGGCGCCTTATAGCTCCTAAGGAGGGCCTCAAGAGAGCCCCAAGAGGGCCCCAAGAGGGCCCCATGAGGACCGCAAGGCGCCCCAAAAGAGCCCCACATGACCCCCAAACCCCCCTAATCATAATACTTAGTCTGGCGAAGGACCCAACCATATTCAGTTGAGAATGCAGTCGTTGTACCGCCTTCGGTTGATCTCCGTATGCCTATGGGGCCACGAAGCGCGTGAAGAGTGTACCGAAATGAGGCGGGGCCGCCATGCGGGCGCTGCTACTGGGGCATGATGTAGAGCCCCCTTCGTGGGGCCACAAAACGTGTGAGGGATGTGCCGAAATGGGGCGGGGTCGCCATGCGGGCGCTGCCAGTGGGGCCTCCGGTGAAGCTCCCTATGGGGCCACGAAACGTGCGAGGGGCGAGCGGCGATGATGGCGATGATAATAACGATGCGCAGGAACGACGGAGGATGAGGATCAAGAGGAGGAGGAGGAAGAGGAAGAAAAGGTGGAGAAAGAGGAGGAGGCTGAGGAGGGGGAGCTGCGAGCATCGCGATGCAAGTGGGATGAAGGAGGGGGCAAGCAAAAGGAAAAATACCAAGGAAGGAAATGGACACATCATGGCGGCACGCGGGGCTTGGCCACCTTCGGCGTCGCAAGCAGGCGCGCCACGCAAAACAGTATGTAAAACAACTGCGTGGGGAAAGAAGACAACAAGGAAGGAATTGGACACAGAATGGCCGCGCACAGGGCGGGAAGAAAAAGGAGACAAAATGGCGATCAACGATCGGCGATACGACCCGCGACGGGGGTAGAGGAGGAGCAGGGCGGAGATCCCTATGGGGCCACGAAACGTGTGAGGGGTGTGCCAAGATGGGGCGGCGCCGCTATGCGGACTACGCCACTGGCACCTTAGGTGGAGCTCCCTATGAGGCCACGAAACATGTGAGGGGTGTGCCAAAATGTGGCGGCGCCGCCATGCGGACTGCGCCACTGGGACCTTAGGTGGAGCTCCCGATAGGACCACGAAACGTGTGAGGGGTGTGCCAATAGGGGGCGGCGCCGCCATGCGGACTGCGCCACTGGGACCTTAGGTGGAGCCCCCATGTGGAGCTACGAAACGTGAGGGGTGTGCCAAGATGGGGCGGCGCCGCTATGCGGACTACGCCACTGGCACCTTAGGTGGAGCTCCCTATGAGGCCACGAAACATGTGAGGGGTGTGCCAAAATGTGGCGGCGCCGCCATGCGGACTGCGCCACTGGGACCTTAGGTGGAGCTCCCGATAGGACCACGAAACGTGTGAGGGGTGTGCCAATAGGGGGCGGCGCCGCCATGCGGACTGCGCCACTGGGACCTGAGCCTCCCATGGGGCCACGAAACGTTAAAGGGATGTGCCGAAAAGATGAGGATGATGGTTTGCTGGTGATGTGATGGGATGAAGACGGCCATGATGATGATAATAGAAATAACGATAAATAGGATAATGCTAACAAAATGATAGTCGTAGTAGTAGTAGTAGCGTAGTAGTGTAGTAGTAGTAGTAGTAGTTATGTGCACTATTATTGTTTCTGCCTAGTAGTAGTAGTAGTAGTAGTAGTAGTAATAGTAGTAGTAGTGAGTAGTAGTAGTAGTAGTAGTAGTAGTAGTAGTAGTAGTAGTAGTAGTAGTAGTAGTAGTAGTAGTAATAGTAGTAGTAGTAGTAGTAATAGTAGTAGTAGTAGTAGTAGTAGTAGTAGTAGTAGTGGTGGTAGTAGTAGTAGTAGTAGTAGTAGTAGTAGTAGTAGTAGTAGTAGTGGTAGTGGTAGTAATAATAATGTAGTAATAACAATACTAGTAATATTGGTAGTAATAACGATAATGATGATAATGATGATGATGATTAGTCGTAGTAGTAGTAGTAGTAGTAGTAGTAGTAGTAGTAGTAGTAGTAGTAGTAGTAGTGGTGGTAGTAGTAGTAGTAGTAGTAGTAGTAGTAGTAGTAGTAGTAGTAGTGGTAGTGGTAGTAATAATAATGTAGTAATAACAATACTAGTAATATTGGTAGTAATAACGATAATGATGATAATGATGATGATGATGCTGATGTTGAAGATGATGATGGCGGTCAGGAGGTTGATGCTGATGAAGACGCCGATCACGACGACGATGGCGATGCTGACACTGATGATGATGGGAGGAGGGGGAACGTAGGGGGAGGAGAGGAGGCGGAGGAACGCGCGGCGCTCTCTCTCTCTCTCTCTCTCTCTCTCTTGAAAACGAGGACCCAACACCACAGGAAGGTCGGGACACATAATAATGTGACTAAGCATACGAACAGCAATAATAGGAACATGCACCACAGCATTACGAGCAACTGCAATACTATTAGAAATACTACGAATAGTAATCATGGTGGTAATAACAATAATAATGGTATCGCCACTCGTAAGACTAGCAAATACTCGTGAGACTAGCAGTATTAATAATACGCATAAGACTGACAGCACCACCACTTGTAATGCGAATACTGGTGCGAATGATGATACTGAAACTTGTATAGTAACAATATTTCGGTTTTCATACGATAAGCACAATACCCATGACCCTGCGGTTGCCGAAGCTATTACATACAAACACGGATCATAAGGATACGCTGGGTATTACTAGCCGTAGTACTACCAATCATTATGACAGTAACTGCGCCGATGAGAAGGAGAAGGGAAGGGAGGGGAATGAGGAAAAGGACGAGGAGGAGGAGGAAGAGGAAGGGGATGACGGGCGTGTTCGCGCTCAGGCGGCCAGCCTTCTGGCACCACACGGCACACACTCTTCCCCGCAGCCTCGTCGAAATCGTCGTCGTCGTTGTCTCCGTCGTCGTCGTCGACCTCCTCTTCCTCCTCCTCCTCCTCCTCCTCCTCCTGACGCTTACGCTGACGCTGGCGGCTGGGTCCAGCGGGGTGCAGGGCGGCTGAAAAGCTAGACAGCAGTAATGTAGAAAGGTGGGGGACGATAACGATAAACACGGCGGTGACGACGGGAGACCAGCGACCTCCCCCTCTCTTCCTCCTTCTCCTCCTCCTCCTCGTCTTTGGCCTTGAGCGGACTTTCCAATCCTGAGAGTGTAGCGTCTGTGAAACAGTCACATGACAGTGCCGATTTACGCACTAGGCCATTCAAAAACAATGCGGCAAGCGCAGCACAAAAGACCTCCTCCTGCTGTTCCTTCTGCTCTTCCTCCTCCTCCTCCTCCTCCTCCTCCTCCTCCTCCTCGCTCCTCCTCCTCCTCCTCCTCCTCCTCTTTCTCCTGCTCCTGCTCCTCTCCTCCTCCTCCTCCTCCTCCTCCTCCTGCTACTGCTCCTCCTCCTCCTCTCCTCCTCTCCTCCTCCTCCTCCTCCTCCTCCTCTTCCTCTCCTCCGCTCCTCCTCCTCCTCCTCTCCTCCTCCTCCTCCTCCTCCTCCTCCTCCTCCTCCCGGCCTCCCCTCTCTCCTCCTCCTCATTCGGCGGCGGCCCTGCGTCCTCATCCTAACCCGCCTCCTCATTCTCCTCCTGCCTTTTCTCCTCGTCGTCTTCTCCTCCTCCCCCACTCCCCCTCCCCCTCCTCCTCCTCTTCCTCCTCTCCTCCTCCTCCTCCCTCCTCCTCCTCCTCCTCCTCCTCCTCCTCCTCCTCCTCCTCTCCTCCTCCTCCTCCTCTCCTCCCTCCTCCCCTCTTCTCCCTCCCCCCCCTCCTCCTCCTCCCCTCCTCCTCCTCCTCCTCCTCCTCCTCCCCCATCCTCCTCCTCCTCCTCCTCCTCCTCCTCACCTCCTCCTCCTCTCCTCCCTCCTCCTCATCTCCTCCTCCTCCTCCTCCTCCTCCTCCCTCCTCCTCCTCCTCCTCCTCCTCCTCCTCCTCCTCCTCCTGGGGGTGATGGACGGTTGCGCAATACTGTGCGGGCGGCAGCTGGATTGTACTCGGATGTGTGTGTGTGTGTGTGCTGAACTACTTACTGGTCTGGGAGGCCTTCAGCCTTCTTCCATGCGCCCACCAGGCAAGCGAAGCGCCGACGATGTCAGGTATGGCGCTCCCTCCTCATCATCCCCACCTCCACCTCCCCCCCCCATCCTCCTCCACCTCCTCCTCCTCCTCCTCCTCCTCATCCTCCTCGTCCTCCTCCTCCTTCCTTCCCCCTCCCCCGACTCTGCTGGCCTTGTACGCGAGGCCTATGCACGGGTACTTCTCAAGGTCCGCTCGCCACCCGCTTCGCGGGTGCGCAAAGGCCAGCGCCGTGCGACGTACCACTCTCGTCGGAGTCAGTCCCGGGTGCGGCGAGGGTGGAGGTGGAGGTTGGGGGGGAGGGGAGAGCGGGGTGGAGTCCGGCCAGGTGCGATCGCACCATATCCGACATCATACCCATCCCACCCATCCATTCCGATAATGGGTGGGGCGGAATGGAGGCAGGCAGTGGAGACAGCGAGAGTGGAGTGGAGCGGAGCGGAGTGAAGGCCAGGCGGCGAGAGTAGAGTGGAGCGGAGTGGAACGGAAGGAGGGGGTGAAGGGGGGGGGATTGGGGAGAGGGAGAGGGAGGAGCGGAGGAAGGAAGGCGAGGGCGCAGGGCAGAGAGGAGGGGGGGTCGGCTCTCTGCCCTCCTCTTCGCCCCTCCTCCTCCTCCTCCTCCTCCTCCTCCTCCTCCTCCTCCTCCTCCTCCTCCTGCGGCTGGCCGCTGCCGCCGCCGCTTCGCTTCATTAGGTTGACGGTCATGTTCCCTTTTGTTAGGGCACGATACGGTAACACTTGACCCGTGCCTTAAACGACAGCCGAGACCATCCAGATCCTCCTCCCTATGGGACACACAGTCCTGGCAAATGGGACGCACAGTCCCTGTTATGGGACACGCAGTCCTGGCAAATGGGACGCGCAGTCCCTGCTATGGGACACACATTCCTGGCAAATGGGACGCGCAGTCTCGACTATGGGACACACAGTCCTGGCAAATGGGACACACAGTCCCTGTTATGGGACACGCAGTCCTGGCAAATGGGACGCGCAGTCCCTGCTATGGGACACACACTGGCAAATGGGACGCGCAGTCTCGATTATGGGACGCACAGTCCTGGCAAATGGGGCGCACAGTCCCTGTCATGGGACACGCAGTCCTGGCAAATGGGACGCGCAGCCCCTGCTATGGGACACACACTCCTGGCAAATGGGACGCGCAGTCTCGATTATGGGACGCACAGTCCTGGCAAATGGGACGCACAGTCCCTGTTATGGGACACGCAGTCCTGGCAAATGGGACGCGCAGTCCCTGCTATGGGACACACATTCCTGGCAAATGGGACGCGCAGTCTCGATTATGGGACGCACAGTCCTGGCAAATGGGACGCACAGTCCCTGTTATGGGACACGCAGTCCTGGCAAATGGGACGCGCAGTCCCTGCTATGGGACACACATTCCTGGCAAATGGGACGCGCAGTCTCGATTATGGGACACACAGTCCTGGCAAATGGGACGCACAGTCCCTGTTATGGGACACGCAGCCCTGGCAAATGGGACGCGCAGTCCCTGCTATGGGACACACATTCCTGGCAAATGGGACGCGCAGTCTCGATTATGGGACACACAGTCCTGGCAAATGGGACGCGCAGTCCCTGTTATGGGACACGCAGTCCTGGCAAATGGGACGCGCAGTCCCTGCTATGGGACACACATTCCTGGCAAATGGGACGCGCAGTCTCGATTATGGGACACACAGTCCTGGCAAATGGGACGCGCAGTCCCTGTTATGGGACACGCAGTCCCCGCGCATTGGAGGATGTCCCATGTAAATTGGAGGTGAAGGGGAGAGATCGAAGTGGAACGGAGAGCCCCCCTACCGGGAAATCGGTTTCGGTTTCGTGTTTTTGCGCGTTGGTTACTCCCCCCCCCCCCGAACCTCCTTATCACCCGAAGGGTGGTCGTTTTGGTACGGAAGAGGCGTCGTTTGTCTGGTATTGCGTTATTTGGTCTCCTCATCTTACTGTTCCTCTTCCTCATCCTATTCCTCCTCCTCGTGATTTTGGCCCCGTGCCCCAGACACGTCGTGGAGGAGTAGCCAGGTAGGTTCATGCTTTGACATGTTGATAGTTCGCAGACCTTATTAGGCCGTAGCAGGCCTGGGGTCTCCGCAGTTGCACGCGGGCCACAGGTGGCAGTGTCAGGCATGGGGGTGGGGGGCTTACCAGCCACCGTGCAAAGGGCCCGCGTGTAGGCCATGGGTGGCCACAGGCCGTGCAGTGGAGGGCATTGGCGCGAGTGCTGCACAGCATAGGCGTGGTAGTAGCCGCTTCTTCACAAGTGTTGCATCCATGGGAGTACGGGGATTGGCACGGGGCAGCTAAGTGTGCTTCACAGTCGTGGGGTGGCCCTCCTCTGGGAAGAGGCCAGGCGGTTGTAAACCATCCTGCTTCGCAGCCGTGGGGGACTTTACTCGTGCATTCCAGGTTGCATCCCACTTGAACTAGCATGGCATACCAAACAGTCAGGTAGGTTCATGCTTTGACATGTTGATAGTTCGCAGACCATAGTAGGCCGTAGCAGGCCTGGGGTCTCCGCAGTTGCACGCGGGGCATAGGTGGCAGTGTCAGGCATGGGGGTGGGGGGCTTACCAGCCACCGTGCAAAGGGCCCGCGTGTAGGCCATGGGCGGTCATAGGCCGCGCAGTGGAGGGCATTGGCGCGAGT